TAGCTATAAATGAGTAACTACATTGTTATGAATCACCTAGTATCTGATGAGTACACTACATTATTTGCTACACCAATTGTTTGTATTCTAGTTGTGTTCTACTGTATTATTACACTTATTAATGTGTTCTGTATGGGCCTTTACCAATTACTGTAATTGTGTTTGTGCCAATAAAATATTTGTATTTGTATTTGTATATATATATATATATATATATATATATATATATATATATATATATATATATATATATATATATATATATTGAAGCAAATAAAAAATGCCAATTTGGAAATAAAGATTTGATTGATTATTCTTTAATATATGTATTGAAGTTTTTTTTATATGTATAATATTTATCACACTGTAATAATGATTTTATAAGTTTGTACACGCCAGACGTCATAACTTTTTCATATCACATGTTGAATACTATCATTTAGTAACTCCAAAAAAAAAAAAATTTCAAAAATTTTACACAATACATGGTGTCTAATTTAGCCTTTACTAAACAGTTCTGATAGATGTAATTAGAATATAAAGTCCACCGACAACCTGTATTATACGTAATAACTCTCCATATGCCCATGTGCTAAAAATAGTGCCAACCGACTTTTAATACAACAAATAAATAAAAAAAACGGGGCGGGACACTTTGAGAGGAGCGAGAGAGGTTAAAGGGAGTTATGGTGTAAAATTTCATTGCAAAAGCTCAAAAGCTTCTTGAGATATCGCCCGGAAACGAAAGTGTTACAAACAGACGGAATGTATGAATTAACGACCTTGAACTTTGACCTTTAGATCTCAAAATCAAAAGGGTTTTCCTTAGGCCACAGGGAGTTGTAATGTAAAATTTCATTGCAAAAGCTCAAAGGATTCTCGAGATATCGCACGGAAACGAAAGTGTTTAAACAGACAGAATTCATGACCTTGACCTTTGACCTCAAAATCAATAGGGTCCTTCTTTAGGCCATGGAAGTTGCTATGCAAAATTTCATTGCGAAAGCTCAATGAGTTCTCGAGATATTGCGCGGAAACAAGTGTTACAGACAGAACAGAAATACAGACGGACGGACAGACAGACCCAAATTAATATCCCCCACTTTCAGTGAAAGCGGGGAACAAAAAACCATAATAAATTACACTAGATGCTATCATAAGACAGTGTTTGCCTCTAAATGTACGCTAGCTCCCTTGTAACTGGGTAGCGAAGACGCCAGAAAAGTTATTTTATAATCTACATAAAATTTGTATAAATGTATCAAACTGAACATAAAATGCACAGGTTGTCATGTGATCATCGACCTCTTACGTTAGATTTCAAATAATAAATTCATTACCGGTCTGAAATTAAAGAATAAAATGATTTTAAAAGGTCTTTTAGAAAAATATAAATTCTGTAAAGTAAAAAAAAGAGGAAAAAATCTTCGCAATAGACGTTATTTTTCGACAACCATTTGGTCCCCCGAGTGAAAATAAAAAACCGGAAACTTTATTGCACATCTGCAGGACACCTTCAATTATTCTGCAAAAGATGAAATGGCTACTACGCTGTATATACAGGGTGTCCCAGAATATATGATACCATTTCAAGATTCTGTAAAACCTAATGTAATGAATATTAAATTACAACAAATGCATTATAAACATTGGATATACTGTCCAATTTTATTCACTTAATTTGACAGTCATTAAAAAGAAAACAATGAGTTCACTTTCAAATATGCTATGGTTCTTAAATGATGCCCTCTAAATAATGTTCTATCCGTGTAATGATAATGTCTCGTCATTGCACAAAATTCCTTAACTTGGGACAACAGTGTCTTTCTCGGTAGTAACTTCTGGATTTTCAGCAGTTGTAAACCTTTTATATATGTTAAGGATTCTGGATTGGGTTTAGCAGCAGTAACTTAAGATTAGGATTGATTATTACAGTTTCAAAATGAGGGTACATGTAGCTAGCTCTTTTCATAATCCCATTTTGATTGAAATTGCAGTTTTTTTGCAAAAGTTTCATGTAAATTTGTTACGTTGCAATTTCATAAGTGTGAGATTTTTTGGAATATTTTGTTGCTATAAAATTGTACTTATTCAAATATTTTTCGAGACGTATATCAAAGAAATTGGCCAAAGGATGTGTTTGTGGCAGGTATTTCGAATGGTATCATATATTTTGGGACACCCTGTACAAGAAGCTCTGGGAACCAGGTTTTTGTAAAATGAAAAACGTCGTTTATAGACCCCCATTTGACCCCCAAGGTAAAAAAAAATATGGGTATTTACTTTTATGGAACTGTAACCTCATGTATTTTAAAGAAACATACGTGAATTTGTAAAAGTTCAAATTGAATAAAAGAAGATAAGAAAGTTCATGTGGATTTACATGTAGTTATATAAAGCGACTAGGAAACAACGTATGACCACAATTTTAAATATAATAACATCAATGAACTTGTATGCTGACAATTTAACTAGGTACACGTAGGGAGCATTCTTTCTGGTGACACTGCTGATGCTGGCATTGCAATACTTAGACAACCGTGAAAAGTACCTCCTATTTTTCCAACCATTTTATAAAGTACAGGGTGAAGATAATGCACAGTCGTATATCCAGTAATTAAAGAACCCAACCTTAGCTTGTATTTGTTATGCAATTATTTACACACTAAATTTTCTATGGATTTTTCCATTTGCTCGATCATGACAAAGAGCACACTGCGGGTGTGACCACAGGCACTTGGGGGATAACTCCCCCCCCCTTTTCCATTTTTTCCTACTTTTGTATTCTAATTTGCACTATATGTTACCGATAATGTAATCCTTTTGTTCCAATAAGCTGTTTTAAATATATCATTTTCGACTGAAACAAAAAGAGGTCTCTTTTTATGTATCAGTCGAAAATGATACATTTAAAACAGCTTATTGAAACAAAAGGATTTAACATTATCGATAACAAATAGTGCATATGAGAATACAAAAATAGGAAAAAGGTGTGTCGATCCCTGATTTAAAAAGGAAAAAAATAGAAAAGGAGGGGTATCCCCCAAGTGCCTGTGGTCACATCCGCAGTATGCTCTTTGTCATGATCGGGCAAATGGAAAAATCCATAGACAATTTAGTGTGTAAATAATGGCATAACAATTAGTATGAATATGTATTTTAAAAAATAAGTTGTACTCCCTCCCCCTCTTTTTGCCTTCATCTGCCCTTTGACATGAAAACAGCAATTTAAACTTGTAAACAATAAAATTATACGTGACTACATATGTTCTTCAAAATTACATAAAACAATGTACTGTAACATGAAATATGGAGATAACGAACAGTAATCATGTTCAAAGTTCATTAAAACAATACAAATCGGGAGCAGAGCAAACACGTACGGACCTCCAAAAGTATCAGAGGTGGGAACAGGTGCCACCTTGGGAGTGAGCATCCCCTGCTGACCGGTCACACCCGCCGTGTGCTCTTTGTCATAATCGGGAAATAACGGAAAAATCCGTTGACAATTCAGTGTGTACATAATGGCCTAAAAATTGGTATGAAAAACATCAGTCAGTATATGACTTAATGATAGTTTGAATTTGCTGACAAGGTCTTGTATCGACCATAGAATTTACGAAATGATGACTAGAACTTACGAAATGATGGCTTTAAACGAGACTGTTGTCATTTTTGTTTCATCAACTTGTTTGTTAATAACGTACCTAGTTTTAGAAATTGTTCTTAAGTACAGCATGCTCTTGAGTATTCAAATAAGAGATATACACCCCAGGGCTCTCCGTGAGCTGTTTTACTGTGTCGACCCCGACACAGTAAAATTTTCCCCGACACAGTAACGATTCAAATTTTATGCGTGCGACACAGTAAACAATTTTGCGACACAGTAAGATCTGTGATAATCAGAACATAAATTCTCTCTAACTGAAACTTTAATCAAATAAATCTACCGTTTTTCAATTTTTAAGGCAGAGCACAATATCTTAATTATCTCTTAATTAGGGCACTTTGTCTTGCTTCACCTTGTATAATCAATTATCTCCTAGACCCTCGCTGGACTTTACGCATGAAGGAACAAAGACAAATAATTTGTTTTCACACTTCCATGTAACCATATAACTGCTAGTTGCATTTTTAAATATTATTTAAAAATTTATTATAAATATATGTCTTTATACTTCAGAACCACGTCTCTAGAATTATGTTGGCACTGTGAGTCAAACATCATTATGATACCGTAATCATGTCATTGAATATAAATGTATTGTTGAAAAATTTAAAGCCACCCCCTAAAAGTATTTTATTATTCTAAAGTTTCTTTTTTTAAATTCGTAAATTCGATCAACTGACAAAAATCACGGCAAATTTACTTTTAAAGTTCGGAAGTTAATCGATTTTATCGACCAGAATTTCCTCCGCTCTTCAGAGCATGTGTAAAATATGAAGTTAAGGAAGCTCTAAACACTACCAAAAAGTGCTTTTTGGACTTGGAAAAAAATATGTCATATAAGGGTATGCATATTGAAACTATTTATTCATTTTCAACATAGGGTACCTGCCTTATTTCCGCAGGAAAAATGTTCAAAGACAATGGACAATTCATGAACAGAAATCATGGTTGTTTACATACATTGTGAAAATTAATGGAAACAATGAATTCAATTTATTATACTTGATCTAAAATAATGCTGAGAATATTTTAATCTATTACAAATTGTGTAATAAACTGTAAATAACTATTTTTTCTATCTTACTTTTAAGGGCAGATCACTCTAACTGCATAAAACTACCCTACAAGTAGAACTCTTTAAGGTTATCCGCTCCTCATGTCCAAAAAATCTTACGAGTAAATTTTCTTCAAATAGATACGTCAATGATTTGTTTATTTCTCATTGAATCATAATTCATCAATATTTGCTATGGTATCCAGGCTTGTATCCAAAATATTTCATCATCATCTTTGTAGTGTTATATAAGAAAAATAAAGACAATGTTGGTTTTCTGTATACTGTATTGCACAAAATATCTTCCATCCATTCTCTGGAGCACAGAAATGTTCAATAGAACCAGAAATATGAAATAATCACTAAAACATGTGTTGTATCCAGTGAAATACTCATTATACAATAGGTTGAAATACAATGCAGTAAATAATTTGACAGAGTTACCTCTCTTTCAAGAAGTTTGCAACAGCAGTTATGATTTTTTTATGTTTTGTCACCCTTACTTTACCATGAAAACATTCTGTAAATATGCTAAAGACTCCATCAAATCCCTTTCTTTCATATGCTAAACATAAATGGTGTAAAGAAAGGCCCGAGGAAGCAATCTTCTTCCCCATACTATATGATACAACTTTACCTCTAATCAAAGGCATCAAGGAGTCTAAATTTGATTTTGTACTTTCCATCTGTTTTATAGTATCCATGATATAGGAAGCAGAAAATGTGTAATTCAGATAAAATGCATCAACACTACTATGCTCAGTAAGCTTTTGCAAATATTTACAATCTTCTACTGCATCATGTGTATCATATGAACATCCTAGTACATTCTTCATTAATGTCTCTAAAGAGTAACTGGTAGTTGCAGTAGAACTGTGCTCTTTTAGCATTGGTAAAGTATCACAAAATCCATATTATACATTCAGACAGTACATGAAAATTACAATTTGAAATGGCACGACATAAAATTATGCTGTCAAACTGTCTACAGTTGTGTGCAAATAAAACCGGTTTAGGTATTCCTGTGAGCCAAAGGTGAAATGATGACAAACATTCATCCAGAGACACTGCATCAAGTGGTAGGCCACGTTTGTACAGAGTGGTGCCATCAAATGTCATCCCTGTTACCCGAGTAGCTTGTTCTTGAACAGGTGATTTTGGCATAACATAACAGCTGAAACATTCATTTCCACATGCTGCTGCCAACTGTATAATTTCACATGATAGTCCTGAAACATAAAGATCAATGTATGTTTGCTATCTCAAAAAGTTTGTAAAAATAATTTGAAAAAGAAATCACCTCCTTTATAAAATTTCCAAATTTATATGCATACCAAGGCCAGTTGTCTCAAGGTCAAAGTACACTCTGTAGTAATCATCTGGCGGCAATGGAACTTGAATGTGTTGTGGTGGGGGTGGTGGAATTGTTTTTTCTGCATTCATCTTTCTTTTCTTCATTTTTCTTTCTGCATCCTTTAGCGTAAATGATCCCGGGGACAAACTCAATTCTTCATTTACCTGAAAAGACATATAGAATCATCATTTTCTAATTTCACGCCTAAAATTACACGTTTCACAATTTTTACTAAAACTAACTAATGTCTTTAGTACAAGCTAACCTTTGTAACATATTGTGGCCCCAAATTTTTCTCACATACAGCAGCTGCAACTCTTCCAGAGGTGCTCTCAGATCCAGAATAGAAGTTATTCTTAGGATTTTTCCTTGACACCATATAGTTGAAGTTTTCATTGCCCTGGGTGCTTTCTAGAGATGAAAGCTTATCAACTTGCCCTGCAAATGATGAAACCAGATGGAGTAGATCTTCATGCAAATTGGTATCTGACAGATATCGTCCATAAGGAAGATTCCTTGGGATGTATGATTCTTTATTTTGAAGGTACCGACACCACTTTGAATCACAGGTGGAGTGATTTCCAAAGAGATGATGTGGTATGGCAATAAGATTTGCTTTCAGCGCTGATGGATTTCCCCTGTTTGATGACACAGCATAGGCAAAACACTTTTTGATGTGAGTAATTGTCTTTGTGCTGAGGATCCTCTTGTACTTTTCTTTTTGAAGAGTAAACAGGTGGTTGGTGAAGTTTTTGAAAGTATGATTTTTATCACTGCATTTTTCAATGTCTGGATCAACTTCTTCACGAACTTTGCAAATTGTGCTAGTGTCATCATCCATAACTAGTGTCTTAAGAGTGTGTCCTTTACTTTTTATGTTTTTTATCATCTTGACTGCCATTGCTGGCTCCATGGCTTTGGCACTTCCACTCCAATTCTTCCTACAGGTGTGTTCTTTTGGTTCACAGCCTTTGCGTTCACTGTGTTCGCATATTCTGCAGGAAGTCGACATCACATCATAGCTGACAATAGAGCCAGTCTGGCATCCAATCAATGAACTATGACCTGATAAAAATCAATAAAGACATTGAATAAAAAGTAGTGTGGAAAGATATTTTTTTATAATAACTATTCTGGGAGTATACTATTATGGTAAAGCAGAATGAATCTCCCACAAGAACAGCTTTTTATCAATACTCATAATTTTACTATGATACATGTACCTACATACCAAGCTTCACATGATATTTATAATATATATATATATATATATATATATATATATATATATATATATATATATATATATATATATATATATATATAATGTTTACCTGATTTACTATTATAGTTTCTACCACTTCCTCGTTTTTGCCAACCAGCATCATATGATAACACCAAGCCATTCTCACTAAGAATAAATAAGTGTCCTTGTATTGATAATGCTACCAAGGTTTTTCATTTACAAATTCAACGTCAAAAATGAGAAAAAAAGGGCAAAAATTGTCATTTTTTATCATTATTACAGAATTCTTACCCTGATTCATTCACTTCCTTTTCTAATGCAGCATCACATGCTTTCCTTGCCAGTGATTCTAATGAGGAGAAACTTTCTCTCTTTTCTTCAAAATTTTCTGGGTAATGCATGGAATGGTTTTGTTAGGGGGCGCATTGACTGGCTCCCCTTGTCTCTTGCCTTTGATAAGTTTCCCTCCATATTTTTGTTTACCTATTACATTTTCTCCTCATTTCGCATAAGAGTTCCAAAAAAATTGTAAAAGCCAAAATCCATGATACGAATAAACTATTCCCGGAATTTGTAAGAGTTATCGCGCCTTGCTGAGGATCGGATAACGTTAATGTGCAGTGTTTAGAGCTTCCTTAAATATACATTGTATGTACAAAAATATCAAGGTTTAATATACACGTCCAACTTGAAGACAGTGATAAAAATATATTGTTTAAGTTTTTTTAGCGTACTTATTTTTTTTTTCAGTTGTGTGTGTGTGTGTGGGGGGGGGGGGGAGGGGTTTACAAGTTGGTTTGTCTTATAGTACATTGTTTGTACATTATTATATTGAAATTCTAATTGTTTTAAATATCCATTAATTTATTTTTTATTAATATGTACGATCATATCAATTGTATAACGAATTGGTGATTCAAAATTCAAAAAAGTTGTGTGTGTGTGTGTGTGTGAGGGTGTGTGTGAGGGTGTGTGTGTGTGTGTGCTTTTGTAATTATTGTTATTTGTCGACATATGAATGGAAATAACAATTGTTAATGATTATTGTTTATTGATAATATGTCATCGACATACCTAAATGTCGAGTTGAAGGTCATCTAAATTTTACTGTATAAATATGTTTCGTAAAAAAATATAAATGTGTGGGGAATGTTTATTTTCGGTCAATATTTCTTTAAACTTCTCCGTAAAAACAAAACTTTAACATGCAATTTAAATTTCATGCTAAATACAAAAACATATTACATGTATCTTGACTATTATAATACTAAAAACAGAGGGCTAGTACTAAGATCTGCTGATATGACATGGAATTGTTTTGAATGTATCTCAATGAAATCAAAAGCGGGAAAAAAATGATGTAAAAATGTTTTGATTAACATTTTGATTAATTGAGGCAAATTATACACATATTCCCCTCCCACAATATGATGCGAAATGACAAGAGAAACAATCAACGAATTTAATTATTATCTATGAACTGCATTGTTTATATTACAACATCGTTCATTAATATTTTTTCTTTCGTCAAAATTGAAAATAACAAACTTATTCAGAGAATACGTGTCCCCCCGCTTAAGGAAAAAGAAGAGCATGCGCAGATGGGGGGATTTGCAGAATTATTAAATGTATACATATATACTGAAGCAAATAAAAAATGCCAATATATGATTTGATTGTTTATTCTTTAACATGTGTATAGAAGATTCTTTTATATATAAAACATTTATCACACTGTAATACATGTAATAATTTTATGAGAGAGTTTGTACACGCCAGACGTCGTCATAACTTCTTTTCGTATGTTGAATACTATCATTTAGTAAATAAAAAACATTTTTAATAAAACGGCATCGTCCGAGATTCGGACCCACCGCTAAGCGAATATCATATCTCTAGATCAACGAGGCGATTGTTTTTTAATCAAATTATATGCAAACATCAGGACACTTATACATGTTTATATTCACGTTCGATATTGTCAAAATTTTACACAACACATGGTGTCTAATTTAGCTTTTACTAAACAGTTCTATAATAGACGTAATTAGAATATAAAGTCCGCCGACAACCTGTATTATATGTAATAACTCTCCACATGCTCCTGTGCTTAAAATAGTGCCACGCAACTTTTCATACAATAAAAAAAACAACGGGACGGGACTTTGAGAGGGGCGAGAGAGGCCATAGGGAGTTATGGTATAAACTTTTATTGCAAAAGCTTAAAGCTTTTTGAGATATCGTCCGGAAACGAAAGTGTTACACACAGACAGAATATATGAATTTACTACCTTAACCTTTGACCTTTTGACCTCAAAATCAATAGAGGTCTTCCTCAGGCCACAGGGAGTTGTTATGTAAAATTTCATTGCAAAAGCTCAAAGGCTTCTCGAGATATTGCGCGGAAACGAAAGTGTTAAAACAGAGAGAAATTTCTGACCTTGATCTTTTGACCTCAAAATCAATAGGGTTAATTTTTAGGCCATAGGTAGTTGTTATGTAAAATTTCATTGCGAAAGCTCAAAGGCTTCTCGAGATATCGCGCGGAAACGGAAGTAATGTATTACACAGACAGAAATACAGATGGACGGACAGACAAACCAAAATTAATACCCCTCTTTCAGTGAAAGCGGGGAACAAAAACAATCAAATAAATACTTTAACGTTCTGTAATTTAACGTCATTTTGACGTTACCGAAATTAACACGAACACCTTGCACGACGTCCAGTACATTTTCTCTGAAAGTGAAAATGGCTGCATTCTGGGGAGGGGGGTCTCCAAGTAATTCAGAGTTATATACATTGTGCGAGTATTATACATTTATACTATGGGTAAAAAAGTTTATTACATAAACAAGTGCCTATGCTAACAAGTCAGGTACAAGGGGAGTAAGAATGTACTTGCTCTTTAAAGAAATCTTGCATACAGCTGTAAGTAGAGATAAATCAGATCAAATTCATGTCATTCGTTACATGAACGAGTTATTTTTCTTGCATCTCTAAGAGGTTGAGAAAAGTGATAAAGAAATTTCTATATCTAGGTACTGCATGTTATAATAAAAAATACAAGGGAATCATTTCACACCTGAAAAGTGATTTGTGGTTATGGATATTGCAAATCATCGGCTTTTTAAACCGCCACGTTTTACAGAAGAAAATTCAGCTAAAACAACCTTTTTTTCCCTTAAACTCCAATATGCCAGCGGTTAATATAAATAGTATTCTTAATCACAAGAGGGTCCAGTCTTGTATTCCACCATATTTCAAGTTAAAGACTACACCTTATATTTCCTACAAATATAAATCGACTATTGCTTCAAAACTTTTTAATTACAAGAAAACATTACAGATCCTAGATATCGAATATCTGACACATAATCTAGGCCTTTCAACTGCCGCTAGGGATCGATGTTAAGAACGATAACTCATTACCGGAACTTGTTTACAGCAGGTCTGAGGTATCTAATAGTTTTTTAACAGGTCAATTTTCAGAATTTCCCAAGTGTTCCTTTGCTGTCAGCGGAATCCAGTGGTTTTAAAATTTAGCACAAATGTTAAAATTATTTATAATGTAGTTACGGACGCTGTTAGATAATATATAAGTGAAATTTTTAATAAAAATATAAAGTGAAATCTACCCCCTTCTTAATTTTAACCCGATTAAATTTTTATGCTTGGTCGTTCTACTTCGTGCTTAGTAAAACGAATAAGATAATTAATTGTTGCATTTACTTGTAGAAATGTATATCTTTATATAAGAAGCACAACAATGCACACCCAAAAAACATGCCATTATATTTTCTTCCTCGTAACAACTGTCAGAGAGAGTTAAAAATCTTGAATATAGTCCGTTCCCCATTCATTTGATCCCGTTATTTCAGGTAGAGTGAAGACATTCTCCTTGTTCTGGTCAACCCTTTTGTGTACAAAACAATGTAGGGAACCCTTTTGTGTACATAACAATACCAACTGAAGAAGCCTATATGTCATTCCTATAAACGATAACTCATTGATCGACACTTTGTTGGTCGTTTTTCGCACTTGACTTACCTGTCCTTAAAACACAATGTCGTACAAATCAACTATTAATAATTAAATATTTTAAAGATTTAATTAAAGGTGTGTACATGTTATAATCTTTTTTGAGGATTTCACGTAGCTGTAAATCTATCGATCAAATGTTTTTACCATAGGTGCAACTTGAAAAATTAGTTGAAAGGCCTACATAATCCTCCTTCCTGTTCATGTTTTTCTTCACCCTACATCTATAGTCCTGCTGGACACGTTACCACTGGTGACGTAAATATAGTTAATAATGAAGACATTAAATCCTTAATTTTAAAAGGGCTAAAATTTAGGGAACCCCGATCCTTTAACTGGCGTTATAATTTCATAAATATTATGGATTCTGTGGAAGATTACGCCAGACCTGAAAAAGAAGACATTGACACGTTGTCAGAATGGATTAAATATATCAGATGTACATCACAGTACATGTATGTTAAAGTCTCACATTAAGCGATTGAGAGGCAAAATGAAAACCAACTATCCTTCTGTTTTCAGTAATTCAGAAGTGAAAAAAAAAAATTGAGAAGATCAGTATGTACTGGTCCCTGCTGACAAAGCAGGTGACAACATTGTCTTTTTTTGTAAGACTCATAATTTAAATTGTATTTTAGAGGGACTTGGATTTAACTGTACAAGGAGTAATCCAACTTATACCCATAGCTCCCTTTCTAAGGAGGAAATTCTTGAAAACCATATGTC